CCCCCCAGTGGCCAGGGCTGGGGCTGGTGCCCCTCGGGGCAGCAGCAGGAACCGCTCCCACCCTGCTGCTGGGGCTGGCCCTGGGCTGAGCCCTCAGGCCCAGGGCTGGGGACTGGGCCATGGCGGGGCCCATGGGCGGTGAGGCCTCCAGGCCCCTGCCCCAGGCCCATCCGCACTGGGACATACCTGCTCCTCCTCCTGCTCCTGCAGCTCCCCCGGCCCCGGCCCTGGCCCTGGCCCTGGCCCTCCCCGCTCCCGGGCCGCAGGCAGCCGTGTGGGCGCTGGGCTGCGGGGCCGCAGGTCCTCGGAGGGTGACAGAACATCCATGTCCCCACAGAGCCATGTGCCCCTCCACAGCGTAACGTTACCTCGCTGGGAAGTGCTGGTGACGCCTAGTGAGAGCAGAGGCTGGCACAGGTGGGTACGAGAGTGGAAAAGTTTTGAGTTAATAAGAGAATAAAAGAGAAGATCGAGTTTTAATGGCGAGCATGGGTTCTCCATGCCCGTGGGTTGGCGGTCGCGGTGTGAACCCCACCGCTCTCTGGTCAGGACGGGCAGGCCCCTGGTAGAGGCCTCCCGTGGTACGTGTCCTGCCGACCAACGAGCTCCGGAGCTGCCCGGAGCGGAGGAAAATGGGAAAGGCAACATTGGCTGTGGATCAGCGATTGCTTCGAGTTCATTGCCCCCAAAGAAGTCACAGGATAAAGCCGTTGCTGAAGCTTTGAAGCCCAGGAACACAGATACTGCCAAGAACTTTGCTTTCTTGCAGATAATCAGGACTTGGCTGATAACGAGTTGAAAAAATGATCCAGAGGAGGAAAGGTCAATGTTTAAAGTTGACTGTAAAGCTTGTTTTCCTTCCACTGCAATTTGCAGTGCAATTACTTCAGGTATCAGTGATGGGATCCTCACCTGATCAAAGCACGCTGTATGATACACAGCATTTACACTCTGGAGTACGTGTTATGCCACCGTGGTAGTGCTTGAACTGGAATCTCAAGTTTATTTCGGTAGAGACTTACGCTGTCATCCTATCGTGACTTAGTCTTTGAGATGTTTGGGAGAGGGAAACAACTTCACTGCTGGGAACTGTGGCTTTTCTCTAAGTGTTGGGAGGGCTGAATTTAATAGTTTTGCCTAATATTTTATGGGGCGTTCAATGGGAAATGTTGCCTTAGCCTTAACTTTTACACAAAACCACAGATTCATTTTATGTATAATAAATAAATAGCCTCCCTATTAATGTTTTTTGTGAAGTCCCTCCACCAGCTTTGAAAAGATTTCCTCCTGAAAAAGCTGATTTTAGTCCAAAGGCATGACAGATGTCTTGTGACTTTAACGCTCGATGAAAAAACAGATCCCTCTTAAGTTATGTGCCACAGGGGATCCTGGTCGCTGCCAGAGCTTTAGATGTGGGCTGAGGTTTGAAACCGCTTTAAGCGGAGTGCAGCCGGTCGCATAAAGGGACGGAGTCACCTCTCCTCTCCCCGTTCGGACAGATCGGCACAAAGATACAGCTCATGTAGTTAAACCCTAGTAACGGGATGATGTGGCTCCTCAGGTTTGATCTGCCTTGGCTCAGCGGCGAGACCGCGAACGTTGGCAGGAGGGAAGGGCTGGGAATGAGTGGGGGGAAGGACAGTGCCACGCGATGAGTTAAAGCAACTCGACAAACCAGAGCCATTTTTCAAGAGCAAAATCTGTGGTGGGAAAACCCAACAAGGACAGTAGGGCCTTTCTGCTCTTCGAGGAAGCGTAAGAAGTTGATTGATATCAGCTGATGAACAATTCCCCCTTCTCTTTCTACAAAAGAAACCCTTTACTTTTTCTTCCAGAAGAAAAATTAACTAATTTTAAGGGAACCAAAGTCATCCCCACCCCTCATAAAAGACAAAACTTTTGCTACAGTGGCTGCCTATTCCTTTTGTGTGGGCTTGTGGTGAGCCAGCACTTGGGTGCACCAGGTCCCTTCCTTCTACAGAATCAAAAGTCCTTCTCTCCCCTCAGAGGTGCCCTGGGCTTCCCAGGCTGGGGCTCTGAGAAGTTGCCAGTTCCTCTCTGGTTCTGAATTCCCCCCGGGGTTTCCTCAGCGGTCACGCTCCAGACCGTTTCAGGTTCCTCTGGTCATGCTCCCTTCTAAGCCTTCCTGCCAGTGCCTTCAGCCAGTCTTCAAAATACTTGCTTAGGGAAATCGTGACTCCTGATTTTTATGTCTTTGGGGTACTTTTATTCATTTTTTTGGAGGATTTGCTGTTTGCTCAGATCCACATGACTGGCTGAGTCAGGAAAGGGGATAGGAGAGTCACACAAACATGCCTCCATTGACATGCTCCGCATGAGTAGCAGAGCTCGGAACTTATACTAACATACGTTAAAAATACAAGTTAAAAATAAAGCCTTTCCTTCAGCCCTGTCTTGCAGCCGGTACCTGCCAGCCGGCGCCGCGTGTCTTGGTGCAGAGCCACGCGGCCCCAGCTGCGGCAGGAATGTGCGGTTTCTCCCAGGAAAGCAGCCTTACGTCTTGGCTCTCATCTCTCGCCTTCGTGATTAATTTGAATTCGTGCTGGTACTAAGCTCTGCAGCCTGAGTCCTGCAAATGTTTCATCGTTAAGCAGCGTTGACTATCAGCATTCTTCGGGGTTATCTGTAATAAAGCACACGCTTCTGTTGCGGCCGTGCGGGTCCCCATGGAACTGCATGGCAGCAAGACGCAAGCTTCTAGTGTTGGCGCATCATTTGGAGATGAGTAATTCTTAACGTTTAATCAACTCTGAGCTTTGTGTGAAGGCTGAGAAATTTTTGAGTTCAAGCCCAGGAGTCGCTGGTCAGCTTTCAAATATTAGGAGCTGAAACAAGAAATCTGTGAACTTCCTGAGTGAATAAAGGAGCCAGGTGATGGGATGGGTCTATGTTTGGCCTTGGCTGGTGCTATCAGCTGCATGCACGGGTCATGCTTGGTCGCCGTGGTTTAAATGTAGAATTGCAGTGATCAGAGCTCTTCCCCGACCGCGTCTGAGCCAGACAAATGCTCTTTTTTACCCCCGACCTGCAGAGCGGAAGGGAGTGGGAGAGAAGATCAGCTGCTCTCCTCTCTCCACACCCACGGGCGAGTAGAGAAGACGTTATTCTCTTTTCTTTCTCTCAACCTTGAAAGAGCAAAGAGTAACCACAAAAAGGGAACACAGCTTGAAGGAGGGGTGAATAATCCCAGCATGAAAAGTTCATCATGAACACAGACAGTGTATCTTAGGGCTGCCCCAGAAGCATATTTACCCAATTTGGTGGATTCGGCCATTAAAACTGCACTTTTTTCTGAAAAGCTGCCTGTGGTCCTTCCCTACCTCCCTGCCCCAAGAGCTGACCTGCCAGTGCTCTCCTCAGCAAGCTTCTCCTCCTTCTCCTCCCTGCATGCTCCAGGTTTCTCTGAGAAGACTCTCTCCTCCTGTCCGGGCTTGCCGGTACCCAGTGCTGTCGGTGTTCCCATCCCTCTAGAGCTACTGGTTTAAGCCCTGTGCTGGACACAGTCCCGGAGCCTCATCTGGTTTTAGGTGCCAACTTTTCACTGCTGCCGCTGGGATCCAGAGACCAAAACATCTTTGAGTTGCTTTAGCCGTACCTCGTAACTACAACGAAATATCACGGAAGACCTAACCAGGCATCTTTCTGGGTTTCATCACCTACGTCCTCGGTCACCAGATCAACAAGTGGGGTTAAGACCAGTGGGGCAGCCAAAATTTCCCTCCCAGCAAATCAGGGTCGATGGAGCAGAGCAGAGCGTGAGGCTTGAAATCGCTGTAGTCACAGCTTCGGGGTCGGCGGGGCGTTATCTATAGTACCTGCTCAGCGGAGTACTGAAGTATGGTAGAAATCAAAATTCTATGTCTAGCGCTATGGCAAGGTCTAAACTGCAAATCCTCGCACGTGAACGCTCCAGTGAGTGCAGCTGCCGTGGCGGGTTCTCTGATGGCGTGGGATGGAGAGCCATGTAGAGTCCTCGCCTTCCTAATTAAACTCCGTGCGGGAACAATTTTCCTACTGTAAAAATGAGACAATGTGAATATTTGTTGCTGGGAAACACATTTTTTCACGACTGGGACAAGAACTGAGTGTGTGACCCAGCTGGAGTATTTAAAGAGGAACTGAAAGTATTTGAGTTTTGAGTTTCTCAGACTTCACTTTTTGCTAATTTTGTGGTCTCCATAAAAGATTATTTCAATGTTCTTAGCTAAAAAGCTATCTCTGCGGACTGTAAACTTTTCCTGCTGTTATTTTTACATGAGTCTTTTCAAGAGATCCAAACGATTCTGAGAAATAAGATCATGTACTACGAAAGGTGCCTCTGTGTCATCCTCCCATGCCAACCCCCGGAGACCGATTTTCTGTCCCCATTGCACCACTGGTCACCAAAATGTCCGGCGCAATCGTCAGCTGGCACAGCGGAAAGCGGGGATAAAGTGTTAGAGTCAACGGGAGAGCGAGGAAAGGGCAGGTTACGCTGAGCTTTTATAAACTGATGGTTCTCAAATGAACTTTGTGCGATGGACTTCATCCTAGAGGACTTCAAAAATGTTTTCCAGCCATCTCAGAGCTGTTTGCAATGGGGGTTTTAGGAGGGAGGTGAGGTGCTGGCGGGCTGAGAAAGAGGGAATATAGGCTACATTTAAAACAAAAAAAAAGGGAATGGCTTGGAAATGACAAGCCAATTAACCTCAGTTCCTGAAAAACAACATCAAAGAGACCACGGAATAAGTAATCGGGAAATCGTTCGTAAGCAACTAAGAAGAAAATACAGAGATGAATACGAGCCGACGTAGATTTGTCAAGGACAAACGGTTTCGCTTTAATCTCATTTCCTTCTGTGATGGGTACCAGGCCTTGTGGGGAAAGAAGCAATAAATATTATATGATCAGGCTTTCAACACCTCCCCGCACCCCATGGCAGCTTCATCCCTGGCCTGGGGACGGTCACCCACGGTTTGCTGTCACCTGGGCTTCCGCACCTGCCTCTTGCGGGTTTTAACTTCAGTAATAACCTGGAGGAGAGAATGGAGAATTTAAATCTGGAGAGCACGTGGAGGTGGTGAGGGCTGGGACTGGGGTAAGGACGGAGTTTCGGAATGG